CGGGCCACTGACTATCTGACTGACTGTGAGATCGCACATAACTTGTTTGTGACCCGGGGAGCCCCACCTGGAAAGACATCACCTTCCTCAGCCCTCACAGGGGTCCGAGTAATTCTGTGGGCCCGGAAGTCCAGCTTTGGGATAAAGGAAGGTGAGGCTTTCAATGTTGCCCTCTGTGAGCTGGCCGGGCACCTCCCGGTCAAGACATCCCAGGACTTCAGCAGCCTGACAGAGGCGGCTGCTGTGGCCCTCATTCAGGAGTGTCTGCTGCCCCCAGCCCAGGCAGAAGAGGTACAGGCAGCGCTCGTGGCTCTGATGTCCCAGGAAGAGCAGTAATCCTGCGTGTATTTGTTTTCTGGCTGATGAGTCCCTTTCCAGAGGGCTATTCATCAGGGTCATATGGGCATTTATTTTCATGACTACCTCCTCACCTGTCTCAGCCTAAGGGGAAGGATTAAGAAATAAATAAATGGTCCCTTTAAAGGGGAGAAACCTTGGAATAAATCTAACGAATGAGCCTTCATGGATGTATCTGCCGCTTCTCACCTTTCTTCCTAAACAAGCCCCAAGAAGTTTAAAAAGGGAGTGTGTGCAAGAGTTACACACTCCTGACTTTCGATGCGGACTTTTCCTTTGGGAACAAATGTTAGTAAAGTGATAGTTCATGTGCCTCTGGCATGGAGTTGCCACTTCCGCTGTTCTCAGCCTCTCTGCTTTTTCTGCCTTTGCCCATCACTGATTTTTATGTCTGCATCCCTCCCTTCCGTTCAGCCCTGCTCCGTCCGAATGCCCTCCTTCTCGCCTCCCTGGCCACCTTGACCTTTCCTCCAGCCCCCAACGCTGACTTGAACTGACTTCTTCACATAGATCCTCTTGGGTGAAAACAAGACGTCCTCACAACTTTCCAGGTGCAGGTCTTCTTAGTACCCCCATTTAACAAATGAAGAGGTGGAGGCTGACAGAGTTAGTACCTTGTCCAAGGTCAGACAGCTGGAGTTGGGACGGCAGCACAGGCAGACACCAGAAGCTGAGCTGGGACAATGTGTACTTGTGACTGCCTCCAGTCAGCGGCTCCCATGACGAGTTCACAAGCTCCCCTTGCTGCAGGCTTCTCACCAAATCTAGCCTTGCTCCGCCACCTGCGTCTGAGTCAAGCTGGGAAATATTTTTTTATTTCACTGTGTTGTTCTGCCCTGTTACTCCAGAGATTTCCATAGTGTTCCAGAGGAACCAGTCCGTAGATGCTGTTTTAAGAGAGTACTTATTTTTTAAATGCCATTTTCCTTTGTGCTCTCTCGATTGTTGTACAGAACTAAAAGAAATCTTGGGTCTAGGTCTCAACAGAGATGATCATGGCCACCACTCCTGCCCCAAACATCCTGAGGGAACAAGAGTCCCTGCTCAGAGGGTGGGGGTCAAAGGGGGTTCACAGAGGTGGGTGCCAGCCGCTGGCTGAGTAGACTCTCCCAGCAGAGGTGTTGGCTCCTCCGTCTCCCAAAATGTGGGCCTTGGCTCTGCCTTAGTTGGCTCCCTATGCCCAGGCCTGTATGGAACTTTAGAGTTTTAGTGAGAGGTTTTGTATCCCAGAAGACGTTACCAAGTGTCATTGGGATAAAGCAGAATATGCGTCCGTAACGCTTTTTTTTCCTTTTTTTTTTTTTTTTCATAGAAAGGGTCTCACTGTGTTGCCCTGGCTGTAGTACAGTGGTGGCGATCATAGCTCACCATAACCCTGAACTCGTGGACTAAAGCAATTCTTCCACCTCAGCCTTGGGAGTAGGTAGGACTGCAGGCATGCACCACCATGCCCAGCTAATTTTTTTTAATTTATTTTTTTAGAGATGAGGTCTTGCTCACTGTGTTGTCCTGGCTGGTCTCCAACTCCTGGGTTCAAAAGATCCTCCTGCCTCAGCCCCCCCAAACTGCTGGGATTATAGGTGTGAGCCACCTTGCCTACATGCCATAACCCATTTTATAAGTTAAATGGTTTAGCATTCATCAGAAATTGTTGGCCACCCTCATGTTTTTGGAAATTGTAGTAATTTTAGCTTAATGCCTCTTTCTGCAAGCTTTTACACATGCAAGCACCAATAACACTTTATTTCGCTGACTTGCTCTCTGAAGGAAGTGCAGATGACCATTACAGCAAAGTGGTGTCCAAGGTGATGAGTCAGATACCAGGATTTTCCCAGTTTGTCCCTATGACTAACGTTTAGAGGAAAGCCTTCCCTGGCCCAAATAAGTTTTTCCATGAAAAGGAGAGGAAAAGTCAAGTGGATTTTCTTTATGATGGTACTTCTCAGCCATTGACATGCTTTAAGAAGGGGATTTGGACTGAAGCTTTTTCTAAGCTTGAGTATGGAACGTGTAGAGACCCTTGTAGGCCTGGGCTTTAAGCATATTAGAAGGAGGTGCCTGGCCAGGTGCAGTGGCTCACGCCTGTAATCCTAGCACTCTGGGAAGTCGAGGTGGGTGGATCGTTTGAGCTCAGGAGTTCGAGACCAGCCTGAGCAAGAGCGAGACCCCCCCCCCCATCTCTACTAAAAATAGAAAG